TTAGCAAGGGCAAAAAAAAAAAGGAAAGCGATTGGGCTGATGGTGGTGGGCTGTTAACGGGAGGCACAACATATAAATCTTGGAAAGCTTTTGAACCCCCTGTGGTGCTTCAATGCTTTACTTTCAGTTGAGCTATTTATGTGTACTTGGGATTAGTTTTGTGTCAATATAACAATAGTGTTTTGAAAGAGGGATGGGGTGCGGGACTTTGATGAAAGGCACAACAATTCTAACTTGGACAGCTTTCCAAGCCCTTAGCTTATTCCTAAAAAGGACTCTTTTATTTGGGCCAAGCTATTCTATTCATGTCATATCAACTGTAGTGTTTTGTAATAGGTTGGTTGGTGATTTATCATTATTTTTAAATTTTACTTTGTGCATAAGTGTACGTCCTATCATGACTTTTTTTCCTTAATTGTCCATTTGACACAACTTTTTATATATTTCATGATCATCAGTCATCTTTTAAACTAAAATGCCAATGAATTTTGCAGGTTCGCACATTTAGAGGTCATTCTAATGAGAAGAACTTTGTAGGCCTCTCTGTAAGCAGTGAATACATTGCCTGCGGTAGTGAAACTAACGAAGTGTATGTCTATCACAAGGTTAGTATGCAAATATAAATCTGTCGTCTTCTATGAACTGCTGAGCTCTGACTATATCAGCTAATTGTTATCTATGAATCACCAATTTTTTTATAGGAAATTCCTAGACCTGTAACATGTCATAAATTTGGGTCACCGGATGTTGAGGATGCTGACGAAGATCCTGGAGCATATTTCATCAGTGCCGTATGCTGGAAGAGCAATAGCCCTACATTGTTAACAGCCAATAGTCAAGGAACAATCAAGGTGCTAGTGCTTGCTGCTTAAAGTGCACCTAGTTTATTATCGCATGATTTTGATTAAAAACACGCCTGAATTATTCAGATTTTTTTCCCTCCTTTCCTCCGTTCTCCATTGTTGGATTTTGCGATCATCCTCTTGTATATAATAACATACGAAGTATTAGTCACATGGAGTATATTGTGTAGTGAGTTCTCCATATTTCTTACATTATGTAAAGTAAATTTGTATGTCAACTATTAGAGGGATGCAGACTTTGTGGCTCGGATTATGCAACACTCCGGTCACTTGCGGGATGGACCTATTTCCAACTGTATTAATTATTACATATACAAATTATCAAATAGTTTAAAAGTTAAGTTACGGGAAATTATTTTTGCACTCTACAAATTTTTATTGTATCAGCGCACAGACTTTATAATCTTTCACACGAGGTAGTGTTGAAATTAGTTATTAGAGTTTATGAAAACAGTTTCTCATCTTTATTCTTCGACTTAATTTTTTCGAGCAAGTGTATTTTTATGGTCTGTATCGAGCAAGTATATGTGTATTCTTACACATAACTCAAGCATCAGCCAAAGGAGTACAAATATAAACACACAATAGGGCGTGCATCAATGACATAAACACAATCGAATCCATACATGATGCACCTAGGAACCACCTAAGGATGCATTTTTATTTTATTTTCGTGTATAAGATTGAAGTCCGTGTTATTCCAGTCGCGTATAGAAGTTCTGCTACACTGTAAAACCCGATTTGTGATTCCAGTTTTGCGTATAGAAGTTTTGTTACACTGTAAAACCCGATTTGTGATTCCAGTTTCGCGTATAGAAGTTCTGTTACACTACAAAACGCGATTTGTGCAACACGTCGCTTCTTTTTTAGTAAAGTCTATATATTCGTCTTATCAGGTAGGTTTTATTAGATAAATATAGAAATCCAATGTTGCAAACTCATCGGAAAATGGTGCGAGTAAAAACGTAGAAACAAATCTGAATAGTCATTTTCTGGTAGCAAATAAAAGTCACAGCACTAAGAATAGAAATTTTTGTGTCTGTAACATGGAGTTTTACGTAAAAGGTTGTTTCTTTGTCCTTAAAAAGTTGTACAAAAAGGGAAATATTTTTGCCATTATCATCATTCAAATACCAATTATTTCTATTTATAGTCATTCGGATCATAGCATTGGCAAATTGACATACCTTAAGGTCTTACTTTATTTTTTCTTTTATTTTTTGTTTTCTTTCAATTTGTACGATTTTACTAAGAAATGCTCAAAATTTTAGCCACTCGAGAGAAAATAACCTATTTTATTTTATTTTATTTTATTTTTTTAATCAAAGGTCACCTTGGCTCGATCGGTACACAAACGTTATCCCCGGGTATATAATAGACATGCCTCAAATATAGTTGTAAGATCTAGACATATTTTCTCATCCACGTTACTAATCATCACTGCCACTTATTATTATTGCATTACTTGCAGCTAGCAACTCAGCAAGTATAACTTTTGGAAAGCCAAGTCATTATTGTATCACAAGTACTCATTAAAAAATTGATAAAATTTACGATAATAAATACATTAAATTTGTTTAGATATGAATTGTTGCACAAAGTACTGAAACAAATATAACTAAAAGAAAATTTTAAAAAAAACGTACCTTAAAAAACAGTGAGTAGCAAATGCAGACCCTAGCTCTCTTGTAGTACATATTATGCAACACATATATATATATATCATCAACCATGAACTTATCCTAAAAATTTAGTACTTGTATTAATCTCACAACTATGAAGTACATGAATAATTTTCACAAAAAAAAAGGAACACAAAATACATAGGGAAAAAAATAATCAAATATGTTAGAAAACAACTACAAGAAGAACACAAGACTTATATATAGCTCAAGAGGGATAGACGGGGGAGGAGAGCATCCACGAACAAAGAGTGAGAGCCTTAGACTTTTAGGCTTTGAAAGAGCATAGAGAACTGGTAGAGATTAACCCCCACGTCCTTGGACTTGCAAGGTCAAGAAAAGTCAAGTGATGTTCCTGGGGTTAGAAGCAGAGGAGATGACAGGTAAGAAGACTAAGCTCAGGAGAGATATCGCCGAGGCCATTATCATGGCAAATTTATTATAAGTAATAGTTGATGGGTGATGATCAAAGGAGAGAGAAAGTAATAAGAAGATTTGATGATGAAGAGATAGGGTTTGGCTCTAAGGGAGGAGCCTGGACCTGATGAAACAGGAGGCATAATGTTTTAAGAGAGATAAAAATTTAAGATAATTTATTTATTGGAAGAAAATGAGATGAAGTGTGGAGGAGAGAGAAAGTGCAAGTGTTAGGGGGTTGAGAAGGGCAGTATTTAAGCAGTGAAATGGAAGAGAAAAAAAAAGAGTATGAGTGAAAAATTAAATGGTCAGAGTATAATTGGGTGTCTGAATTAGGAGGGGAGGTGTTGACAAGTCATATTCTATTGCAGGGGGACATTGTGGATGATGAGAGTTTGTTTTCTTGGACTTTGATGAGACTTTATGGATTTACATTTTGGGGGCAAAATGAGAGTAATGATGAGTAGGTGAAAAAGGTTAATTTTTCGACAACCCGTACTATTTAAGTTTGTTGTTTTTGTTAAAATCCGAGTGATACGGAATAAGATTGATGTTATATGATCAGTCGAATCAATTTGGTCTGAATCACTCTAAGCTGATTTATCTATTTTATTTTATTTTAATGTTTTTAATGAAATATAAGTTACCGAGGATAGAAACTTATTTCTCGCTGATTCGCCTCTCTTGCTATTCCAAAATCTTTAATGTTGATTAATATACTATGTAAGTTTTCATAGTTTTGCTTATTTGATTTGATTAATAACTAGTTTTTAGGCGCGGATGATGCCCCGAATTATTGCAATAATTCCATGATTGAAATCCTTATTTAAATTTAATTTTAGTAGAATGACATATAATATGGTGATAGCTTAGTGACTAATACTTTAATTTTTAAACTTAAGGTTGTGGGTTCAAATATTGTATACATGTTTTTAAGCAAGTGAAATATAAAAAACTCGATTAATTGAGGAGGGCGTCATGTGACATATAGGCTTATTTAGGAACGCCTTTTAATATATAATATAGATATTGGTCTCTCATAAATTAAGAAATCCTTTCTCCAAAGGGGCTAAGGAGTGTAAATCTCTCATCGTTAGATAATTTTCAGTATTCTACTAGACTAGTAGTTCATAATTGGTAGGTTTGGTTTGTTGATCATTTTCCTATTAGTGGAATTAAGCTCTTTGATTACTTTTATGTATTAACTAATATCTAAAAAACTCTGTAAATTAAAGAAGTGTATGATTGGTATATGTACGTAGACCCTTGCTTATAAAAATTTAATTAAGCTCTTTGTATTAAAAATTTCATTCTATTGAGTAAAGAAATAGAAATAATAATAATTATGAATTAGCTCAAAGCTTGGAAATTAGAGTACAGATTTTGCATGCAATTCATCAGAAAATATAGAGAGACGAATAATGGAGAATAGTGCAGTAGAAACACAGTACAAAAAGGTAGTGGTCCAGAATTACATAATGTTCTGAATATGTAATTAGGGAGCTTGTTGGATGCATCATTAGAAAAGGATGCCCATGCCTTAACATTTATTGATTGGACCCCCTTTTTCCTTGGGTGCAAAATGTTAGGGATTGAATTTATAGATCAACCATTTGCGCAAATTTTTATTTCATTTACTATCTTTATCTTGTATTTTTACTTAATCATTGGCGTTTTTAAAATTTATTATAGACGGTTAAAATGATGGGAAACTAGATTTTAACTTGTGTAACGTACATGTAAATCATTTATGTTAAATTAGGTTGTTGGGGTTGTGCAATGTATGAGCTTTATTTAGAGAAATTGAAAAAAGATTAAGATTCATAAGTGAAGCAATGCAAGACACAACATATAATAATCAAATTTCAGGAGATGTACAAGCATAAATGAGTATACCATTAATTCGTTCATCTAATAACAAATAGATAACGGTGTAAATTCCTATTATATTGTTTTATATTCACTTCTTTTATTTATTGATTCATTATTAGATCAATAAAATTATGTGATTAGATTGGATCAAATTTAGAAAGGGAGAAGGGAAATCGAGGAATAAATTCATTTTGATGAGATACTAAACTTGAATATTAAAATACTATAAATATAAAGATTGAATAATGAATATATGTTGAACATTGAAGTCTTGAAAGGAGGAATTGAAGGGAACTCACAATTTTTTTATATTTTTTTTCTCAAGTTTTCTTCAAGTTGACTCATTAAAATAATAATTAATAAAAAAAAACATTATTCTTCAATGTCTGATATGTTTGATCTAATTTGAAATAATTAAGACGAAGTAGTTCTCAAAATTTTAAAATAAGATAAATAAAAATCAAATGTGCCTTAAGGAGCATTTTTTATGGTCGATCGTTAGGTGTATTAATTAATTGATATGAGTCTTCAAAAAAAAAAAAAAATTTGATATGAATATGATTGACTATGAAAGTATTGAAAAAACAAGCACACTAATGAGTAATGATGCAGTGATATGAATTAGGATAAAGTTGAGATACAAAATCTTTTTAACTATTTTTTTTTTTTGAAACAAATTATTCTGTTTATTACAGAGTATAAAATAGCTATCTACATACTTTATGGTCTAACAATATCTTTTCTGAAAATAGTATGGTAGGGGGAGGTGTACCATGTGCATGGTACACCTCCCTCGTATCTTTCACCATCTTCCCCTTTCGATAAAAAAAAAAAAACAAAAAAAAATTAATTGAAAACTTTCCCTCCTTATAAATATGCAATCAATTTGATCCTTCCTTTTATAAAACTTCCAAAATCAAAATTCTTCCCCAAATTTGGTATTACAATAATTCTAGAGAGAAATATATTCTATTCAATTTTTTAGAGAGAGAGAGAAAAAACAGAGCAATTACAGAGATCGTTTTCGAGAGATTTTCAACAATTTTCATGTCTTAATCCAAATTTCGACATGATTCTGATGCAAGATTTGTCAATGAATTTACAAAAGAGAATGATGGCATTGATAATGACGATGATGGAGAAGAATCTGAAGTCTTCGTGAACAGCGATGAAGGTAATGCTGATGATTATTTGTGATTTTTATATTTTAATTGTTTGATTTTATTTTTTTTACATTCTATTTTGATAAATTATAAGTAATTGAAGAATAATTTTCTATTTATTTGTGATTTTTATATTGTAATTGTTTGATTTATGTCTAATGTTGATGATGAACTTCATTTTGATTTATTGTTACGTGCACTGAAATCAATGTATATATTGTATGTATTATATGTTCTTTTGTTAACGTCGTATGTTCATTTAATAAAAACTAATGTTCTTTATTGTTTTATATTGATCTTATGTTCTTTTACATATCATGTTTTTTTTTTTTTTTAGATCATGTTCTTTTTATATTAGATCATGTTCTTTTCATTTGATATTATGTTCTTTTGATTTGTCTATATGTGCTGCTAATTTTATATAATGCTATTTTATTGAATACATTTGTTATACAGGTTTCACAGAAGATAAGGAATCCGAATTACTTTATAAAAAAGTCAAGTCTGATCTAGAAGCCTATGAGTTGTACAACAATTATTCATTCAAACACGGATTTGGTACCCGAAAGGTGAAGCTAGAGCGTAGGGCAGATGGAGTGACCATTCGAAACGTACAATTACTTGCTATTATGAAGGTTTTAAGAGAGTGAAGAAGTTTGGCGAAGAACCTAAAGTTTACCAGAAAAGAGACTTTCGAACAGGATGTAAAGCTTTTATTCAGTTTGATGTTGACAAGGAATCTGGATTGTTTATTGTGGCTAAACATCATATGGTGCATAATCATAGTAGAGTTCTGATTTCTAAGAGGCATATGATTAGGTCACATAGGAAGGTATGTGATCATTATGTCATTATTATATGTATAATTGATGAGTATTGTGCATTTATTTTATGTGAAAATATAGATTAATTCAAAGTAAAAAGAACATTGTAGCATTTCATAATGTACATTACATGTTTTTAAAAGAATATGATAACTATCTATTGATAGTAAAGAACATTTCATTATTTCATAATGAACATCATATATTAATTAAAAGAATATTATTGTGTTACAGGTTTCTGAGGAACAAGTTGGAATGCTTAATAGTCTAACTGAAAATGGTATTAGCGTGGCAAATGCAATCCGTGTTTTAAAGAATCAAGTAGGTGGGGAGGCCAATCTTGGGTTTCTTTATAGTGATGCATATAATGTTTTAGGTTCTAAGAAGAGATCAAAGTTTGATGGCTGTGATACAAAGCAACTACTCAGTTATTTCAAGCATCGAAAATCCAATGAGTATGACTTTTATTATGATCTTGATGTCGATGAAGAGGGTCATTTGCAGTCTTTCTTTTTTCGTGATAATAGGATGAAAGTTGATTATGACGCTTTTGGAGATTTGTTGGTTCATGATACTACATATCGTACAAACAAATATGCTATGATATGTGGTCCATTTGTGGGCATGAATCATCATAATAACAACGTTATGTTTGGTGTAGGGTTTTTGATTAATGAAAAGTGAGAGTCCTTTGTGTGGTTATTCAATACATTTTTGAGATCCATGTGATACAAACATCCAACTACTATAGTGACCAATCAAGCTATGGCAATGGCTAAAGCAGTTAGGATAGTATTTCCCAATAGTCGTCATCGGTTATGTACTTGGCATATCAATGAGAATGCGAAGAAAAACATTAAAGGACTCAAACAAAAAGAAGGGTTTACTTACCTTTTTGATATTGTGCTGAAGTATACTGATACAATTGCAGAGTTTGAACATTATTGGTCAAGGTATTATTATATTTCTATATCATGTTCTTCTTTTTTTATATATTGATGTTCTTTTACGTTTTACATTATGTTTTTTTTTTGTTTTTTTTTTATGTATTGATGTCCTCTTAATTTCTAAATTTGTTCCTTTTTAATGAATTGAATGTTTTTATAATTATGAACTAATGTTCTTTCTATAAAGATGTAAAATTCTTTTTTTAAAATATTTCATTTTAATTGTTTTAATTTATAATGTTCTTTTAGTTTTTATATGTTCTTTACAAAGTAACAATATGTTCTTTTTATTGACATTATGTACTTTTTCATTTACAGCATGCTGGACAAATTTCAATGCCAAGACAACAAATGGATTATGAATCTGTATAACATTAGAGAGATGTGGTGCCCTGCGTATTCTAAGGACTACTTTAGTGGAGGTATTTTGTCTTCTCAAAGGAGTGAAACAACAAACAAGTCCATTTCACGTAGGCTTCATATTACTCATGATCTTTGTGATTTTTATAACTCTTTCATTGAGGTTGTTGATGAGTAGAGGGGTAAAGAAGGCAATCATGACTATAATAGTATCACTGGTAATCGTCATTTAATTTGGGTAGATATTGGGTTATTGGAGCATGCAAGAAAGATTTACACTATTGCATTGTACCTAATGTTTGAAGATAATTTCATCAGTGGTGTACCTTGTATTGCTAATGTTATTGCAATGAAGCCTCCTCTATATGAATATCATGTTGGTCATCCTAAGAAGGATTTAATAAAGCATACTATTGCTTTTGATGAGTCCATGGTTACAGTTGATTGCACTTGTAAGTATTTTTGGTGAAGTTGGGCTACTTTGTAAGCATTCCCTTCGTGTTTTACATTTGAACAATATCACTTACATTACATCGAGATATATTGTGAAGAGATGGACAAAAGGTGCAATGTGCACTAGGATTGATGATAATGATGTGGCTCATGAAGGTATTACTCCTCCGAATGTTTGGAGGTTACATAACATTAGGACCTTCATACATATTGTAGATCATACGAATATGACACGAGGGCCCGAAATGTTATTGAGGAGTCTATTGATGAGTGTACAACTAGGATTAATTTTTTATTGAAACAAGATGATGAAAATGTTGTGCAAGAATCTGTTGAGAATCAAGAAGGCGGTAATTTGTTGGAGCAAGTTCCAATTGAAGAACCTGCTGAAAGTAAAGCTGTGAATGAAAATTAACAAGAAGTGAAAGACCCAGAAGAAAAGACAAAGAAATACTAGGCTTAAAATCACACAAGAAAAAATATGCAACAAGTTAAAAGGACAAAGATCAAGTCCTGGAAAAAAAAGAGTTCAAAGGGAGTTTCAAAAATGAAACAAAATGCTCGGTCTACGATTAAGTATTTGAGCTCCTTTTAAATCTTGAATGTTCTTTTATACATACTTAATGTTCTTTTATAAATCATGAATGTTCCTTTATACATAATTAATGTTTTTTATACCTACTTAATATTCTTTTTAAAATCTTTAATGTTCTTTTACAAATTCTTGATGTTTATTTTAGTTACATCAATGTTCTTTTAAGTTACTAAATGTTCTTTTACTCTATGTCTGATGTTCTTTTAATTCCTATTTTCTTTTTAGGAAGCATTGACTGTACCTTTGGGAAATATTATTGCACATTCGTCTGAATATGATGGTTCAATAGAGTATTTCGAGCCTGATGATTATTTTGGAGTAAATGTCACCCTTTTTTAAATTTTTCATTGAATTTAATTTGTTCTAAACTTGGAATACTATAATTGTAATAGATTTTTTGGAATTAATATCATTACTTTGAATATTTCATTTTATATATTATTTAACTTGATTGCTTTTTTAATTTCAATAACATAAATTTAATAACAAAACTAATTACATCTATATATGTTGACAAGTCATATACTTCAAAATGTACATATGTTTCAAAGTAACAAGTACATGATTGTTCAAAATAAAAAGTACAAGTTACTTTTTCAAAATAAAACATTAGCATTGCCTAAAAATTGTTCAGAACTTGTAATCAAACCATACTTCAGTATTGTCATTCACTTCAAATCTGCTCTTGTTTACTGTATTTGTAAGGATTTCATTGCTATATTATATCCTTGGCTTCATCAGAGCATCAAACTATAAAACAAAAAAGAAAATCACATCATCAAAAAGGAACATTAGATCTAATGAAAAGAACATTATACATATATAAAAGAACATTAAACATATTTAAAAGAACATTATGTAAGAATAAAAGAACATATCTTACATTGTCAGCCTTTAACCCACATTCCCATTTCCTTTTACCATAATAGGTCTCCATGTGCCTCATTGTGTACACCCCACAATCTACATCGTTCTCAAGTGTTCTCCAAGGCATAGTTAACAACTTCACATTATAGTTGTTCATTTTCTCATATATCTTGAGGTTTTTCTTTTTACACCATAAAGCAAAGGCATTCAACTTAAATGATCAACATAATTAATAAAAAAAATATTTGATACATTAGTTTATGGGAAAAAAAATTATGGAATGAATTTAAATTTATTTACTTCTTACCACTTTTCAGGCCAATCATAGTACTTTGAAGAGAATTCAACACCCTCTACAAGTGGTTTGTTGTCTATGATTTCAACTTATTTTGCCTTGGTGTTGATAACCATAACGTATAAATGTAAGCTTGCATCATTTACATTAACGTACACAGGGAAAAAGGACTGACATTATAGAAGAAAAAAATAACATTAATTTTTAGATAAAGAACATCAATTATTAGAAGATAGAACATGTGTACTAAAATAAAGAACATTACTAACTTATAAAAGGATTCTAAATATGAAAAAAACAACATTATATAGAATTGATTACATACTTTGGACACCTTTAATTGATTCTATCTCACAATCAATTAGCCAATAGTCGAGTGTTTCAATAAAATTTGCAAGTCTCTTCTCTTTTGTAACCTCTTGGCTGTCATCTTTGTAAGCATCATTCTGACATAGTGTGTTCTAGAGAATAAAAGTGCATTAGTATTAGAAGAAAGAATATTAAGTATTAGAATTGAAGAAAGAACATGTATATTAAAAGAAAAAAAAACATCAATAATAATACATAAAAAAATATTATATCAAAACAAAATTAAAGCAACAAGACTACTTACATTAGCATTGTTTGGGAAAAAAATTCTCTTCTCTTTTTCCCTGAAACTTTTTTTAGTCAAAATTAAAGCCCAAGCATCTACTATCTCGTAGTCGATGTGCTCATTACGAGTATACTCCTGCAAAATTAAAAACTTTCTACTGTTTATAAAAGAACATTCTATATATAATAAAAGAACATTTTATATATATTAAAAGAACATTATTAATAATATAAAAGAACATTGAATATTTATAAAAGAATATCATATTGTTTATAAAAGAACATTCTATATTTAATGTTTTTCAAAAGTACCTGCAAGTTTGAAGGCTCTTTTTGATACCATTGTTGATTGGTTTGATGATGTTGTTTCTGCTGCTGTTTTTCATCTTTTTGTTGTTGTTGTTGTTGATTCAACTTTTCTTCTTGTTGTTGTTGATTCAACTTTTCTTCTTGTTGTTCAGTCTTCGTCTGTTGTTGGTGTTGGTGTTGTTGTTGTTGTATGTCTTCTTCTTCTCTCTATTGAAACTCCTTCTATGGCTCATTGTTGTTGGTCGTCCACAACTACTGGAGACTGAATCCTTTCCAACAAAAAGCCATCTCCAAACCCCAATTTCATTTCAAGCTTAATTTTGTTTTTGATTAAGTCATAATTCCACACTTTAAGGAGTGGGAATTCCCTTGGGTTTGTCAAAGTGTCTTTGAAGTCCTTCAAAATAACATACCTAAAAAAACACACTTAATATTTTTTTCAATAAAAGAACATTATTCAATATAAAAACGAACATTACATCATTAATAATGAACATATGTTTAATATAAAAGAACACATATATCTTATTAAAGCATATGATAATACTTACCATCAAGAATGGAAGTGGCCCACAAAAATACCTTGATTTGTCCTCCTTTCAGTCTTCAGTTTTTTTCAATTAGGTTTTGAATAGTGTATTCAACATCAATTGTTGTTTTCAAAATATTGTAAGAAAAAGAATATTAGTTTAGTAAAAAAGAACATCAATGCTATTTTCAAAATCAACATGAATATATTTATGTAATATATATACCTTAAAAAAGGTTGTGGGTTTGAAACATGCTTTATGCATGAATTGACAACCAAAACCAAAAAACTCCTCATCCAATTATCGTCAAGTGGATTTTTTTGTACCCCGAATTTTTGGAAAATACTTTAGTAATTTCTTATATAACTTAATTTGGAATTTTGACGCCAATTTAAGTATAAGTACTTAATCATTTGAATAATTAATTATTTTTAGATTTCTAATATTGGTTTAATTATCTTTTATAGGTCAGTCCATATTTTATTCAATATGTATGTTGTTATCTTAGAAATTTCAAGAGTTTTAAAGATAATACCTAATATACATTATGATTTACAACTAATTTTAGTTTTGATATTATCTAAAATATTTATATATTTGTATAATAATTTGATTTAAGTATCAAATTCAATTATTTTATTTATTTAAATATGATTTTCGTTATATATATCTATACACACACACATATATATATATACACACACACATATACACACACACACACACATATATATATATATATATATATATATATATATATATATATATATATATATATATATATATATATATATATATATATATATAGCTGGCCGTATCTTCTGGGAATGATATCATATTTCTTAACCTTTAAGTAGTTAATTTCTTGATTACTTTGATTTGTATCCTTACTCCTCCAACCAAATCAATATTAATCCTATTTTTTCTTCTCATCTTTTTCATTTGATTTCTCACATAAATTAACCTAGGTCAAATTGCATTCAAATTCATTTAACTAACCTAAATTTATCTTGTTTTCATACTATTCCTACACTCTCTTGAACTCTATCTTCATACCCTTAAACACCTATAAATAGACTTTTAATTCCTCCCATTTACTCACACAAAAAAAAAATCAGAAAAGTCTCCTCTACACCTTAAGACTCACGACCCTTTCTTTTTCCTCAAATTTTCTTTCTTTCTTGCTTAAACAAACACCGCAACCGCACCACCTCGCCATTGCCACCCCCGCTGCCGCTAACCAACACCTCATTGCCGTACTACTGTTGAATCTGCCCCCGGTTGCTGCCGTGACTTGCCGCCAGCAAGGTGCGTTCAGTAGCACCTTCAATTCATTCCTTCCTCCTTTGCCGCATAACTACAAAGAAAAATGATACTTTTTTCCTCTTATTTCTATTATTACCAATATTACTAAATTATTATACTAATGCTATTTTGATACTAACGTTACAATTTTGATACTAGTATCATTATTTTGGATACTAACATAAACTATTAAAATTTTGATTGTTTCGGTAGTTCATGCACAAGTAGCTTAGAGTAGTGTTTATAGTTTTGACATTATTTGTTAATCTTATATTAATTAAGGTTATTTTAAATTGTAGGAGGATTCTTTTGATCGTGACCAAGTGTAGCCGTGCCTTTATTTCTCGTGATCAAGGTATGTATAGGTGGCTAGGTCCTTGATACAAGTTTGAATGCATGTTTTGGTAAATGTTTATTTTATTGATTGTTCGAATAAATGTTGCGTATGAAAGATTTAAGTTAATGGTTTTCATGTTGAGTTAAAATATAATTTTACGATTTAAAGGTTTGATCTTTAAAAGTGTAGTTTAACTTAATAAAAGTTGTTTATGGATCACCGTATTTCAAGCTATTGAATTAAAAGAATTAATCTAAACTTGTAACTCATTATGGGCCTGAGTATTTATTATTTTATTTGTCCTTCTACCCGGGACTGGTTACAAAAGACCATGAGCTTTGTATGATCTGGTCTTTCCTCGAGTATAGTTTAACTTGCTTGGGGGTTGTGCTCACTAGGTGAGGAAAATTGGTTTTGGAAATATATTTTTAAACTGGAATGTTTATTAATTGGGAAGTTTCTATTGATGGACATTACTACTTTTGGAAGGTTAAATTTTGGAAATTTTAAAATTGGAAAGTCTAATTTTGGAAAGTTACATTTGTATTGGAGTAATTATTTCAAAATCATGTTTGCCTAATAAAAGTATTCACATGCCTTGCACTTATATGTACTTAGTGTTTTTGCTAATATGTTTTCCTTTTTGTTTTTGGTTCACCCTATTTACCATTATTAGTAAGCAGTCTTGATTTCAGGTGTGGAGTTGTTCGTGCGCATACTAGAGTCGGGATGGAAT